TGTCAAATTTTTATGATATCGTCAAACATATATTTTATTCAAAAATAAAAACATCATCGCTTTCTCAAAATCACATAAAGCCATATTATAACATCAACTGATATAAAAAATAAAATGAAATATTAAAAACACGATGTATCTCGCTGCATTGCGCGAGTACGCTTCTAGTATTTTCTAATTCAATGAGGCTATTTTGAGCGTGCTACAAATCTGTTATTCGAACTCAAAATACATTTCATCGAATAAAAAAAAACACAGATTCTGGATTGTATCAGAATCGTATAAACCCTAGGAGACGATCGACTTGGTTGAAATATTCAGAAGCGATTCAATGGATGCGAACGGAGGAGGTATTCGGTTATTTTCTTCTTGATTTCACTATGAAGCACATTGCTTATGATTTCTATAATGTAATATGAAACAGGTAGAAAGAGTGACATGATGAAGGCGCAGAGAGCATTCACCTTCTCCAACAAAGCCAACGAGACAATAGATGTTGACAATGAGGATGAAGATGAACTTGATCGAAGTGGAATCGAAACAACAGGTATCAGAATATTATTTCCCTAGCAAGATATGAAATTATTTTGATCAATGTTAAATTTTCTTGGTTGTATTGTTGTGTTTTCGACACTGTGGGAACACAATATTTTATATTTATCGTCAATAATTTGTAGGGTTTGCTTGAAGATGTTGTGTTACATTGTGATAAAAAGAAACTATGGTTCCATGTGATGCCCAAAATAGTTATTAACAAAAATTCAAACAAATTGAACATTGGGGTATCCATCACTTACTTGATCAAATACCTTTTGAAATAATAGGTCGTTATTTGATTTTAAAGATCTGGGTTGCATTTACTGAAACTGTTAAATATGAGTTGCATTGTTTTACATATATATATATATAGATATATATATATATATATGCATACACAAACATACAATTCTATACTTTAGTCATAGTGTCATAAGCACATTTCCATTCACTTTACTCCAATATAGAAACTTGGGAATTAACTTTGAAAACTGTCAATGCTTGATTTTCCTTTATCTTTCTTGCATTGTAGATTCAACATTACTACTAGTTTACCTGTTTGGTTCATTGTGGTTGAGTGTGGTACCAATTGAACATTGGGGTATCCATCACTTATTTTGAACATTGGTTCATTGTGGTTGAGTGTGGTACCAACAAGAGGTAACTAAATAGATGTATGAATAGTTACTGATAAGCACAAATATATATATTTTTATGTCAAAATTACCTTGCAATTAATGTCAATTAGATGCCTAAAATTTCCATTTTTATTTAAGATGATATTTAATTATATGAGGTCATTTAAGTTTGGAAAAGAAAGGGAAAAAATTTTGATTTTTATGTTTTGATCTCATGTTGTAGCAGCCAACAACAACAACAATGACAAGATAAAGCCCATAGCAGCAGCCCAAGACTGCTGCCCAAATCAGAATTCGCGAGAGAGAACGTGCAGCGAGATATGGGGAAGGGGGGCAGCACATCGTGGATCATG